AAGGTTTTTGCCAAACTAATCAGAAAGTTTGGGTTTGGATTTGTTAATTGATGAGAAATAACATCTCAATCTGAAGCAAATTTCTTTTATTACAAATGAAATTGAACAAATATTCACATGATTAATAGTCATTTCAATTTATTTTTCTGTGAACCATTTGGCAGTCCATTTGCTATAAAACTGTTAATTTTCTATAAAATTTTTAAAAGGTTAACATTTCTTGAAGTTCTCTGTATGTTGGAGATATTTGCTGATACAACTTGCTGTTATGTAAGGTGCTAATATTTTTCCTAGCTTATTTAACTCTTGTTCCTTTTTATATGGTATATCTTTCCATGCAAATTTTTTCTTTTCAGAGTTTTATTTTCTTATAGATCTTTCAGATTTTGAATAATAATTGGGGAGATTTTTATCACCCTTAAGTTTACAGCAAAATTCATTCAAATTTTAATCTAGCACTTGTATATTTTCATTTTTTCACACTTATATCTCTTATTCATTTGGAATTTATCCTGGTATATGGTGTGAGAAAGATACATTTTTATCTTTTTTTCATGTGACTATCCAGTTATGCCATATTATTTATCAAAAACTCCATCTTTTCTCCACTAACTTAAGAAGACCCCTTTGCCATCAACTAAATTTGCGGTTGTAATTGTCTCTATTTCTTTGTTTGCTCTTCAGTTTCATTAGTTTGCCTGTCTATTCATGCACCAGTTGCACATTTCATATTTACAAAAGCTTTCGGAATGTCTTTTAATATTTAATAGGGCTAGGCTCCTTCCTACTTCCTCTCTTCCAGGCTTTTTCTGGCTATTATTGCTTGTTTATTTTTTTAAATGAATTTTGTAATTCACTAAGCCAGATTGACAAAAAAAATCTGGTGATTTTTTTAATTGGAATTGCATTACATTTATAAGTCAATTTAGGGAAAATTGACACATTGATGCTGTTTAATTATTCTGTCCAGGAACACAATATGATTTCCTTTTGTTTCCATCAATTTTGGGGTCTTGCAGCTTTAAAAAAATGTTAACACATAAAATATATAAAATTGGAGTCTATTAATATGCTAGTTATTCAATGAAATAATATTTTATTTTATTATGTTAGTTAATATTAATTGCCTATATAACCTTAACACCAAAACCAGATTTTCTGGTTTTATAAACTAAAATCAGGAGTAAGAAGAGTAAAATTGATTGCTACACAACATTTTGTTGGAAGTATTAGTCATTGTAAATTTTATATAGCGATGGATTTCATAGCATCTTTGTATGGGGATGATGGACATCATTCTTCTTTTTATATGTCAATGAAATAGACATAAATCTCATTTTATTGTTTTCTTTTTACATAAGTGTGCAAAAACTGTAAATGGATTTTGACAAATGCCCTCTCTGAAACTTTGGAAACAATGATATGATCTTTCTCTTTCAGTTATTAATATGATAAATAATATAACTACAACTTCTGATATTGAACCATTTTTGCATTCCTCAAGAAATGAACACACGGTTTTAATGTATACTTTTAACTGATTGTTATGCTAATATTTCATTAAAGGTTTTTGCATAAATATTCATTGGTATAAATAGTCTATGTAGTTATCTTTTTGGGGTATAATTTTATCAAATTTTAATACCCATGTTATAAATTCATTTTAGCAAATATACTTAAAAATTTTTTTTAATCATTGCATATTGTTTTTTTAAATGATTTTATTTATTTATTTTTGTGTGGAAGAACTGGAGTGTAGGCCAGAGGAGCAGGGGGTAAGAGGATTCACCAGACACAGAGTGGGGGACAGAACAGGCGGATCTACTGAAATACACTGCTGAGGGGAGCAGCAGCCAAGAAAGGAGAGGTCTACTGCACCATATACGGGTCAGCTCGCTGGCCGGTTATGGAACTCGGGCCATCTCGGTGGGCCTTCAAGGTGGTAGCACTGAGACTTAACCCCTAGGCCACCAAGGAGGCCCTAGAACTTTGTTATATTTAATCCTTAGTGCCACTGGAATTGAAAAATGCCAGCTCCTTGAGAAGCCCGATTACCGTTGCAATGAACTAAGATCCCCTGTGCACAGGAAGGCAGATGGCACCCCAGTTAATGCATAAGAGGCTTTGACTTTTAATAAGGCTGACGCTGCAGACAGCCACGTGTCAGACTCTCAGCACTCTTGTTCTCCTTCCAGAAGGTGGAGAAGCACATGGTAAAGGCTGGGTAGAAATGGTAATCTGATAAGCAGGGGACAGGACCCTGAAGAAAATCATGAGTCTGAAATAAGAATCAACACAAGAGACGTGGCCAGAGGATGAACACTTGAGCCAGGGCTGTCCTGGCAATGCCAGTGTGCAAATAAATGGTGCTTCAGACTCCTTGAGGTTTAGATGTCTCACATTTGCCCATAGAAGAAGAAAAGAAGAGGAAAATAAGGGAGTGAACACAGAGTATTTACTGAGCATGAAGCTCTGTGCTAAGGGCTTTTCTTGTTTGGTATCACTTAATTTAAATGGAGAACTTATAATAAAGACAGTTGTAAGGTTTTGAGTAGCTAAGTCTCTTTCGAAAATTCATTTTCTAATTCATAGTATAGGAAGTAACAGAGAAAAACTGAAAAGGAACCGATATTTGGTAACAGAGTTCACCTTTCAATATTACATAAGGATTTTTTTTTTCATTTCTTAAACTACAGGAGTAGTAGATATTAGTAGTAGAAAATTTAGAAAGCAAATGAGAAAAAAGGAAATGAAAATAATCTGAAACTCCACAATTTAAGGATATAAGCTTTAAATATTTCCTTCCAGAACTTTTCCTATACAAATTAATTCATATAAATGTGCATATATGAATACACGTATGTAGGCATATATATGCACATATGTTTTAGCAAAAAGTGGGAACATGTTAAACATAATATTGTGTTAACTTTTGTTTTTGTAGCTTGATGATGCAGGGAGAATTTTGAAGTTTTTGAGATTCTGCTTTTTAAATTTTAATAACAGAATTTTCCTTTAAATTTGATGTGACGATGGGCATTTTTCTTTGGACCCTGGTGGCTGGCCTCCATCACTTATTGCTTCTTAAGGGCTTGTGCATATTTTATAAGCAGAGCAAAAGGATTGAAAAAGGGTGGGTACAGCAGTACCTGGCAGATGTGGGCAGTCAATAAATGTTTGCTAATTGAAATAAAGAATGCATGATGAACTATTATTTTAAAAATTTTAAATCATTACATCCTTTTAGCAAGTTATGAGGGATGCAAGTTCCTGAGGGCAGGGCCATTGCTAAGAAAGGATAATTATGCTATTGTTTCAGTGCAACTGGCTCCACCATTGAAATGATAAAGGAATTCAATAGGTCTGTGTGATGAGGTAAATTTTAGTGCCCTCTTTATGTGTCTCTGCATCTCCAAATCTTACTCAACTGCAACCTCATGGTAGAAAAGCAGGCAAAAATAATACACAGGCAAGTTCAGAATAGAAAAATATAGAAATAAGCGATTAATGTGGAAGTACTTAATCTCATTCATATTCAAAGAAATGGTAGTTTTGACAAATACCTAAATGTAAAACTATTGTACGTGTGTGGTCTTTTTTTTTTTAATTTTTAATTTACTTTTGTGTGGAAGACTAGGGTGTAGCCAGTGGTGTGGCGGGTGAGAGGACTCACCAGAGACAGAGTGGGGAGCAGAACAGGCAGATTTACTGAAATACACTGCTGAGGGGAGCAGCAGGTGAGACAGGAGAGGTCTGCTGTGCCATATGTGGGTCAGCTCTCTGGCCGGGGATCCAACTCATGTTGTGGCGTTGATAGTGCTGAGACTTAACCCCTGGGCCACCAAGGAGGCTCCACCTAAGTTTTGGTAGATGCTTGCTGACAAACTGCTTTCCAGAAGGGCAGTCCTCATTTCACACTCTTCTCCTTGATAATGACCAGAATCTCTCCCCATCCAGGCCAGCTTTGGAGCTTCTTTGTTCATTAATCTAATTGAAAAAAAATTCTATTTTGACTGAAATTTTCTTGATCATAAGTGAGCCTGAATGCTTGACCACATTCTCCCTGGCCATCTGTGTAATGTGCATTGTGTGATTTGTTTGTGGATTTCTACAGTCCATTTCTACAGCACTGTTTTCATTTTATTATTGATTAATAGCATTTCTAAAAATACTAAGGTTATTAATCTTGCTCATTTATTTTGGAAATAGACTCATGAAGTGTTTCACTTTTCTTTTACCTGGATTTACTGTGTCAGTTGGTGTTTTGGTTACTGCATTTGTCTCTCTTTTCTTTATTGACATCTGGGCCTTATGCTCCATTTTGAATATCTTTTTTATTGGGGTTTTCTCCTCGTTCAAATATTATAAGAATATTGTCTGTTAAGCATCATCTCTGTATTTTTTTAATGTAGTTCTTTACTGTCTGGAATTTATTTTTACTTATGGAGTGAATCCAGAATCTTTAGCCACTTGTTCTCTCAAAGGTATACTATGCAGTGGAAAGAACACCGCAGTTAATTAATCCTTAAAAAAATTATTTAGGGGGCCTCCCCTGGTGGTGCAGCGGTTGAGCGCTGGGCTGTGAGAGGCTGCCCGCAGCCTCTGCAGCGTCGGTTCGTTCCCCAGCCACCGGCGAGGGTCCCACTGAAAAAAAAAAATTATTTAGGTGACATGGGTTTCAAACATTACACAGGTTTTAGGTACACAGAATTCAAATTTGATATGTGTATTATTAAGCTGTAATAATGTTGTAATAATAATTATTATGCTGTAATAATAATTTGCCAGTAAAAATCTAATTTCCATTGACCCCCATAGATTTGATCCTCTTTACCCAATTTCCCATTCCCTTTCCTCTCTACCTCTTGTAAGCCTGTTTTGTTCTTACAATCAAAGAGTCACAGTTGGTTAATCCTGTGTGCCATGGATGTTGGATGGAAGGGGGGCAGACTCAATTCTTAAATAAATTCAATTCCTCAATTCCCCTTTCTCTGTGCCAGGCACTAGGTAAGTGCTGGGGATACACCACAGCAGTGCTCATGTGTGGAGCTTCCATGCAAGCTGCAAAAGAGGCAAATGCAAAGACAAGTAAAATGTTAAGAGTACCAGGAACAACTAATAAAATATGGCACCGTGAGGAAGATGACGATTCTCTGTATTCTGAAGAGGTGGTGTTTCCTGAGACATGATGATGAGCAGAAGTGAGCCATGCAGAATCTGGGGCAAGAGAACTCCCAAGAGTGAAAACCAAGGCAAAGATGGTAAGGGTTGCACTGGTTTGGCATATTTGAAGTCAGAATCAAGGTAGAAGCTTTGTGAGGAGGAAAGAGATGGATACAGTCAGAAAGGTAAGGAGTGTCTAGAATGCTTTGCCTTGTAGAGCCTGTTAAATAGTTGGTTTTTATTTTAAGGGGTGGGGAGATATTGGAAGATTTTATTTTATTTTATTATTTTTATTATTATTTTATTTTATAAAATTGCTACATCATTTTTCATTTTTGCACAATGTGTACATTTTCATTTTGGTTATATTCCCATACAATTCCCACCCACCCCCCTTATTTTGACCCTAATCCCTCCTCTCCCCCCTCCCAGTAGTGTGTCTCTGGTCTACAGTTGCTTGTTGATTTTGATTTTTTTCTTTATTATAATTTTAAACAAAGATACCCTATGCCTCTACAGAATGTGTGTATGTGTCATCTCTAAAGCTGCCACTAGAGGGAGACAGGAGGCGATGGGGCAGTCACACTACAAGCTTCCCAGGAAACAGCCTAACCCCTGGGAAATCACCTGCTTAAATAGGCAGAAGTCTCCAGAAAGGGAACTGACTGTGTCTAATTTAAGACAGAGGCCAGGAAACTTGTCTAGTTAAAAATGGTAAGTCATCAACAGTTTTATAGATAAATTTCTAAGATTGTTTCTAATAGCAACTGAAGAATGATGTGTCCTCAGGATTGACCCGTTAGCTGCCTGGTGGTCATGCAAACCTCACAAGTGGCACATTAGGGGGGTTTTACAAGTCTGGCCCTTAGCCTGGCAAGTTTGGGATTCTGGTGTTTTATCAATGCCCCCCAAAATCAAAGGAGTAAAAGAGGATTACCTACATTATCCACTTCAGGGACATTGGCATCTATAAGCCAAGATAACCGTGCACCAGATACTAACAAGAACCCCACCTGACAGGCAGACATTCCTGGTACTCCTTCCCCTAATAAAACAACCCTGGGCATCAAATTTTGCCAGCCACACGCGTGGTTAGCAGAACATAAGTAAAAGGGAGGTGAGCGAAGCAAATGGACAGTGTTAATGGCTCAGGTGCTGAGTTCCATGGTTGAGATAGTTGCCAGGGAAACATGAAGGGTGGGGGTCTTCCCTGCAAGCAGTTTTCTGATGGGCAGATCCCGTTTGACTCTCTTAGCATCAGGTAGGATTTAGCAAGTGTTTAAAAGAACAGGTGCTGGAATAACATGAGTGTGTTCAAACTACAGCTCCGTCACTAGCTCATTCTGAGACATGGCACCAGCTCACAACACGCTCTGGAACCGGTCATTGTTCATTTGGTGGCATGTGCCTTCCTTCTGTCCAATGCAATTTTTTGGAGAGTGTATGTTGGTTTTCATTATTCAATTCTAAATGGGCAATTATATTTCAGAGATGGGGTTGGTTGGGTCATTTCCTGTTTCCTACATACTGACCACACCAACCCTCAGGGACACTATTCCTCCCCTTGATTCTATATCTAGTTTCCAAACAGGAATCCCTTGACCGCCACTGTCACTTCTTCCCCAAACCCCACACCTGGATCTTGGGTCACTGTTTAATTTCACCATTATCTTAGGCAGAATCCTGTAAATAACTGTATCTATATCTCTGTATCTGTATTTCAAACCCCTTATAGTAAACATGTTGGAAAGAAAAAAGTGAACTCAAACCAGGTTCCAGTAGATAAGAAGACTACTTCGAAACCTGCATCTCATGTATCAACATTCTCATAGAACAAAATAATTGGGATTATGTCTTAGATTTTAACACAGTAGAAGTTGAAACATAGGAGCTACTATGAAGACTTTAATAGCAAAAGAGAACTATCTTCAGCATTTTAGGCTCAAGAGAATATATTCCTCTCCAGGGGGTGTCCTCTATGATCTGGGTCACTGACCACGTTGACTACTGAAGCCTGACACACTGGAATTCTACGGCAACACTAAAGAGGAGGTGGAAATGTTGAATTGTCTCAAAAAGTAACTGCAGTAATAAATACTCCAAAGTCAAAATTAAAGTGACACCATGACTTGGCGAGAGCAAGTAACCCATACACATCCTGGAACTGGCAATGTGAGTCACAACCAGTAGTTTAATAAGTGTGTATAGGGCTCATATATTTCTGATGGACAAAAAAGAGATTGTATTCATAGAATTTTAGTCATAGTCTGGCCATTTCTTGCATGTTGAAACATACTTTACGTTTTTAAGTGGAAGTTTCAAGGTTAAACAAGAGTGTATGATAGTATCGTGAGGCAAGTATAAACAGACTTGAAAATACCCCACTGTGACTCCTGGCCTGACCCCCCAAGTAATTGTGGGGAGCAAAAGGCAAATGATGAAAGCACTTGCTTATGTCAGGATACATAGGATAGTTACATTAGTCAAGAGTCCCCAAAGAAACAGAACCAACTGTGGATGATTTATCTATAGCTATAGCTATATATCTAAATGTTTCTGTCAGACAGGAAGAGTTGATGTTGCAACAGTCTGATGGCAAATTCTCTCTTTCTTGGAGGAGGTGATCCTTTTTCTAGTCAGGCCTTCAACTGATTGGGTAAGGCCCACCCACATTATGGAGGGCAATCTGCTTTATTCAAAGGCACTGATTTTAATGTTAATTTCATCCAAAAACATCCTTGAAGAACCCCCCCAAATGTTTAATCAGATATCTGAGTATGCTCTGGCTCATTCCAGCTGACACATAAAATTAACTGTCACAGCAACTTATTGTGGAAGACATTGTTGGGGGAATCCATGCTCAGCTCAGTCTGCTCTGCAGACTTCAGCACCGATGCTTCCACAGACAATTCAGTTGGGAGAATGTGATGATCTCATCAAAGAAAGATGCTTTTGTATCTACTAAATTTAGGTCTATGACTCAAGAGGTCATGTGCAAATGTTCCTTAGTCTACAGCAGACATGCTTGAGTCCTTTACTCGGAGTATGTAAATTATTTGAAATCTTGAAGTGAATTTGCTCGATGGTGAAGGAATGAAAGAATGTAGTATCTGTCCTCTTTCTTGGGGTTTTTGGCAAGATCAATTTGGAATCATCAAACATCTGAGACAGCATTCTAGAAGGATGTTAGCTGCCTTTAATGAGAAGTAGGTTAGTAACAATAGCATTCAGTTCAACAATTGCAGACATCAGTTGCCTTACACACAGTAGGTCCTCAGGTGACTGGAGTGAATTTCTGATGGTGAGAATAGCATTGGCCCCATGAAGCAGTTTCGATCAGAAGGTTTGATGACTCTTCATGGACCAGCCTAGACAATCCACCAGGCTTAGGAAATAATAATACAAATGCTATTAGCATATCAAAATTTTTATTTTGAAAAACCTTTAGTGTTACAGAAAAGTTGCAGTGAGTTCTCAAATCTCCTTTGCCCACCTCACCTTGTTTTAGCATCTTACATACTCATTTGTGATGATCTGAGCCAGGAAATTAACACTGAAATAATAGCATCAGCTAACTTACAGACCTTATTTGAATTTTGCCAGTTTTCCGAATAATTTCCTTTTCCTGGTCCTGGATCCCACTCAGGAACCTGTGACAGTTGTCGTCTGTCCTTTGTTTCCTCCAATCTGTAATAGTTTTTAGTTTTCAATTTCATCATTAAAAACTAATGGTCACTTATTTTGTAGAAAAGCCCTCAGTTTGGATTTGTCTGCTGTTTTATCACGATTTTTGGCAAGAATTCCACAGAAGTGATGTGCTTTCTCGGTGATACCTCAGTTACATGATGTCAATGTGTCTTCCATTGCCAACTCGGGTCACTTGCTTAAGATGCCAGCCACCAGGTCCACTGTAAAAGTTGATATTTTTCCTTCTGCAATTAAAAAGTTTATAATGGGGAGATTTTGAAGGTCTGCATATAGCCTGCCCTTACCCTACTCCAGCTCACAGAGTCTAGCACACACCACTGACCCTTCCTACAACAGTGTTTGCTGTGGCATCTGCCTACTGGTGATTTCCCAATTTTATCCAAAAATAAGAATTTAGTTTTACTAATATTTAACTGGATTTGCACTGTTGTCTTTATCAGCTCTGAAAATCAAGATAGGTATGTAAGGTGTAAAAATAATAAAACTATTGATCTGTCCAACTCCAAATATGACATAATCAAGAAAACTATTTAAAATAAGAATTTATACATCCATTTTCAGTAATCAAGGCATCTTCCTAAGTAAATATTTCATCATATTTACTTTTCTCTGGTAATTTTTCAGTCCTGACAATGATAATAACCAGGTATTTTTTTAAAATTGGACTTAAAGCCCCTGGTTTTTCAATACTGTATACCTGTGTTAAACTGCTTCACCAAAATAATAAAGAATAATCAGCTCCATTGTTATCACTCAACATTTATCTCTGATCATTTTAGAAATTATACCATTAAGAAATGAATAATTTTGTTTGTTTAAAATGAATCCTTTAAATTCCTACTTTGGGAATTGTCAATGTTCAGGTATTAAAAAATAAGCAAATAAAATAGTTTTGCACTTGTTCAATTTATTTTCCTAAGAAGGCTGCATAGTCAAATAATTTTAGCACCCATTATTTTTGAATAAGTAAAATTTCAAAAATATCTTGAAAAGTGCCACATTTTTAGTTTTCCTTAAAAGGAAAACTGTCATTTACTAGATATCATTTACTGTAAAAGTAAATCATTTATTGTAAAAGTTGTAAATCATTTATTAAACAAAGAATATTTCAATATTATATGGACAGGAGAACATAGTCTTAAAATAGAGAATAATCCTTCAGATGGACTACATTTACTTTTACTTAAAACCTGTGCTATTGTCTTGTTTTGCTGTTCATGGAGGGAATTTTCTACAATATTTCAATATTAGAGATTGAATTCTGTGCTCTCAGAAAAGATAAGCTGAAGTCTTAACCCCCAGTATCCAAGATTGTGATGTTTGGAAATAGGGTGTTGCAGATGCAATTAGTTAAGATGAAATCCTACAGAAGTAAGGATCCCCTA